ACCTTTTTTGTTGCTTAGTTTGTGAGATTCGGATATGTGTGCATTGGGTGTGATATAACTATCTCATTGCTAACGTCGCTTTCTTTGATAACATTCTGGTAAATAAATATGTTTGTTGTCTTTATTTTTTGTGTATTCACTGAATTGTATGGAACAAAATGGTTATGCGGCCCACGCTCGTCATTCTCTCAGTTATCTGGCCCGCTGTGAAAAAAGTTTGGTGACCCCTGCTCTAGAATAACGTATGTAGATATTCGCGTTTACCCTAATCAGTTAAGAATAATGAAAGTAAAATAAAATTGCCATAACACTGTCCAAAAGTTAAATTTATCAAGGAATACTCTTCATTAAAAAAAAAGTCAATTTCAAGCCATCCGAATATTTACTAAATATAGACTCTTTGGAATCTTTATGTTACTACTCAATTGTAATAATTGTGGTAAGAACTTCGGAGTTGCCTATCATAATATAATAAATTCAAAGCACCATTTTCTTTGGTATATGAAAAACAAAGTATTTATATATATGTACATACATACATACAAATATATACACATATCAGCTTAGAAATGTGAAAATGTACACGTTCACAGAAGTTAGCGCACGTCTTTACGCACTGTTCAGATAAACAGTTTAAATTTGACTTGACCATATTCTTGTGCTAATCGTTCCTCTTTAGTAGTCTCAAGTACTTTCCTGGTTGATGATGTTTTAAAATTTATTTAGACTTGTCATGATGGATTTTTCTAACATGATCAGTTATGAGGAGTATAGATACTCTGTCGCCTTCTTTTTCTTAATGTGAGAGGTCACTGAAGTGGGAACAGTACATTCTTGGAGAATTGGTAGTGCCCATCTTTTGTACATAGCAAGTTTAACAATGCTGATTTTGAGACTTTGGTTATTCATTCAGTAAGATTACAATGTATCTGTTTTTATTCAATATACACATCCAATAAGTCAACGTGATGCTTTTTTTTTTATGTTGTCTTGTGAAACTTTACTTTCCAGTATATATCTCGGACTCGGTCAACTCAAATACACTATTTAAATATATGTTAAGGTATCTGCGGTACTGCCCTATGCTTTAATTTGCTTTTAGAATACTAAAGAATATGTTGATGGACATTTAATCTTATACTTTTCTGTAATTTAGTTGATTATAAATTTTGAACCTTGGAACAACTTGGAAATTATATTTCCCAGATAAAGGACAATGGGTGAAAGAAGTTGACTGCTGAAAATAGACCATAATTTGAAATGCAGCACAGTCTAGGGAATGTCTTTCATCAGTTGTGCAGGATCATGTATATCATCTTGATTTTATCTTAGATTCATGGTGGAGAACCATAGTCCTGAACATCTGAACAAAATTCTCCTACCGAGTTTAAAGTTCAGTAAACACAAGATGCAGACGGCTTATCATTGCTACAGTTGGAGGTATCTATATGGACCTCAGGTTGTTCCATATGGGTGGAAGTGAGCCCCACCATCAGTTGTTGCCAACTGCTGTCAGGAGGAGAATGAATAGTGTTATTGAAGGATGAAATCTATGAGATGTCTCACCACCAAAGCTTAAAGGAGACAGTGACCCATAATGTAGCTGAGAATTTCCCAAGAGATAATGTGAGCTCTAAACCACTAAAGGTTGTAGAGGAGCATGACATCTAGTGGAGTGGAACAGCAGTGCATTTTTCATGGCTGTAGATCACTCAGTCAACTGATAACAGAAGATATGTACCAGCTGAGATGTCAAGAAATAACTTCTATCCGTTATTGGTCAATATTGAATATGTGAAACACATAATGCCAGTGAGATTTAAGGAAATCCAAAGGAAGACTTTTAAACATTTCAAGACAGATACCTGGCTAGCACAGACAGATTCAAGGACATGTAATACAATAGTTGATACTGAGCTTAAACAATCCAGCACCTGACACAATTGAGCATTTCAAAAATAAGTACCCTAGTGTCATAAATGTAGTCATAGCTCAAGTATGATGATATTTAAATCTGATGTAGAGGTGACGTATCTATCAGTGTGAGCTCAATGCTTGAAAGTGAGGACTATCAAATGAGACCGTATAGAACCAGATGGAGGTTAGAGATATTTATAATTTAACAGATACTGTTTCTGTAGCAATTATGTTTGAAGTAATCACATAAAGGAAGTTGCAGAAGAGAAAAAAGTCCATCAATAGCTGCAGTGGCACCATCTCAGCTAGAATGACTTTCAGAAGTGCCTGATTGCATCTTAAAAGACTCTATCTCAACCCAAAGTACCTCAACTATAAGTACCACATACTGTTTTGATCCAGCAACACTGGATACCAGAGCATAGTCATGGTTATCAAGGGTGTCTATGATAGTTGTGTCACAGCAGATACCTTCATCCAGATGAAGCTATACAGGGAGAGGTGGAACACTTATAATTGGTTGCAGAATGATGTAACATGTCAAAATAATCTGCCCATGTCTTATGCTATTAGAACACTGAATGTGCAAGTCTGTTCAACTCCACAACAGTTGCAGGAGAGTTATTGGTAGTCCATGGCTGTCACAACCCTGGCCCCATTAAACTAATGGAGCTCAAGTTAAGTTTTATGGCCACAAAATTTTGTTGTAAGGTGATTTAAAAAACAACAATAAAAATAACTCCTTCTATCTTAGAATTAAATTTTTTTTATTGTTGATCAGAAAGTCCCATGTTGTATACTCGGTCAATTTCAATTTGATTAATTTTCAATAACATACTACTTTTCTACTTTTTTTGCAATTGCATAAGTTACCAATTCTACTCATAAGTTGTAAAGAACACTGCATAAGATGACAAATATTTATTGGAAACATAAGACCCAACCTT